GCTGAGATCTGAGTACGACAGCAACGGAACAGCAGTTAGCTGTTTTTCAAGGTATCGAAGGCCTTTTGACAGTCTCCTGTCCATTTAAATCTTGCGTACTTTTTTGTTAAGGGGATCAAGGGAGTTGCTATCCGAGAAAATGCTAGGATAAAACGTCTGTAATATCCTATGGCCCCTATAAGGCCTCGTACCTGACTCACTACAAAGCCTAGATACTTGGTTTAATTTCTTAAAAATTGGCACTTGGGCAGTTTCAACTTCAATCCGTGCCTTCTCAATCATCCAAAAACTTGTCTGTGGTGGTCAAAATGTTGTTCTGGTGTCTCTGAGAATACCAGAATATCGTCCAGGTAAGCCATAGCAAAACTCTCAATTACTTCCAGCACTATTGACATCAATTGCTGAAAAATCTCAGGTGCATTGGCCAGGCCAAATAGCATGACCTGGAATTGGGACAGGCCCATGTGACATGCAAATGCAGCCTTTTCTCTATCAGCCTCATCAAGCGCTACCTGCCAATACCTTAGATCTATCGTAGAAAAGCACAGCCTTTTCCCAACAAAGCCAATATATCGTCAATCAATGGCAAGGACTCTGCTAATGGTTTGGAAACAGCGTTCAGTTTCCTGAAATCTACACAAAATCTGTGCCCGCCATCTTTTTTTATCTACCACCACTATGGGGAATCCCCAAGGAGACCTTGACGTTTCTATCATGCTTGTCTCCAACATATCCTTCACTGCTTCCTCAACTAAGAGCCTTTTATGAATAGGTGTTCTATAAGGCCTTAGCTTAATTGGAGTGTGATCACCTGTGTCAATTCTCATTTTTATGGTGTGATTTTGGCCTAACTCTTTATCCGACTTAGCCACCTCTCAGGAGCCATTATTTCTTTGTCTGTTATACCGTCTATCCGCTTTAATTCCTCTTTTTTTTGTTTTGACCTCTTCAACTGTGACCTCTCTTACACACGTTGTGATTTTGATCTTAAGAGGGTAAAACCGAATTTCCACTGGGGTATCTTAAGCACGCTAAACCAAGGAGTTGAACACGTGCATACAAAATTGAAAAATAAAATGGACGACGCCCGAATAAGTCATGATCAGAATAACAAAAAATATTTACAGTTCTTTTCTTCCTTGTTCTTTTTCTCCTTTTCCCAAGCCGTTCTAATAATTGGCGACGGAACGAAAATTGTTGGGTAGCTTCTTTAAAGAGTGACCAGATTTGACTACTAGATTTTATCTTCAAATACTGTGATTTGTACTTTCAAGGACGGTACAAGGTTTATCGTCGGAGTTTTTTTTTTTTTAGCGACAACTGGTTTTAACTTCAAGTACTATTGATTGTACTTTCACGGAAGGCACAATGTTTATTGTCGGAGGTTTTCTTCAGGGACAACTTGATTTAACTTCAAGTACTATTGTTTGTACTTTCACGGACGGCACAAGGTTATTCGTCGGAGTTTTTCTTCTTCAGCAGATAATTATTATTATTCTTATCATTAGGGTGACAAGCAGCGTTATATCAGAAATCTCTTTCTCTCGGTCGCAACCTCACTGCGACTGCAACGGCAACTGGCTGGCCCCAACTTTTCCGACTAACTTTGGCCCACGTGGGCACTTGTATTTATGGGTGTCCCTTTCAACTGGTGTGGTGCGGGCGAATATGTGGGTTTTATGCAAATCTTCCAAAATTCAACCAGTCGTTTTCTTTCATTTTCTATTTCACATTTCCAATTTTGGAAGATCCCGTCCTCCTTCGGGAGGAGCCATCGTATGATGTCAGCCTTTCTGACGTCATCTCCTGCCTTTATTCTGTTTACAATTATAATTTTTTCTCAGGGAAATTTTCTTTTTCGGGGAAATTTTGGCCGACAATCCCCTCAGCAGATAGTCAAGCCGGACATCAATCAGCAGCCGACCTTAACCTCTGGCCTCTGATCCTGCACCTGTTCGCGGAATCGCATTGTTTAACTTTTTCAACAAAATTCATACATCTATTCCCATACCCTGGGAAAATAATTCTCTTTCTGACAAAAATTTAAAATCGTTTTGTTTTAACCCTTTTCGTCCGTACACCATGTTAAATATTGTTACAGCTGGATTATATGTAATGTACATATAAATACATTCAAAGTTGTTTTTTAGCTGTGACTATCTCTCAGAGTCTAATTCCTTTATTCCCAAGTTTTAAAGGTTTGACAAGGGAACCTTTCTTCGATCGAAATATTGATGTTAAACTGCACAAGATATAGATGTTAGGTAACGGATGGCTAAGCAGTGTTTTTCCGACTCCACCACACGCGAGGGAGTGAAAGAATACATAACTACTAGGATTGTTCAGCAATCATCAAACGGAGACGAAAGTGGAACGGTTTACTGGCGTCTTAATCTCCAACTGGTCAAACTAAATTATTACTCTTATTATTATTATTATTATTGGTTTCCAGTTACTTTCTACGTAAGTTCGTCTCTTTGCGAGTAAGCATGAATTGACTCATTACATTATTAACTTGCTGCTGCATTTCTGGCGAGGGCACTTGAGACGTCCAAGTTCTTCTCTTTGGTTGACTGCCAGCTTTAATTGCTTTTTCCGTTAACTAGTATTTTCTTTTAGAATTATTTTTATTTTTTAAAAAATGGAAATAATTTCTACTGAGCTGTCATACTCAAGATGAATGACTCGGTAATTTTCCATCATTCTCTGATCTGGATTCATGTTTCTATAACGAATTTCGTCGGGGTAGGCCATTGTAATAAAATAATGAAAAGGTAGTAAGGTGAAGAAAATAGATTGACATTAATTTGTTGCGAACCCACGAGGAAAAGGGAACAATTCTGACATGGCTAACTTCACATTGAAGTTACATGAAAATTCCAGCCCAATAAGAAAATCTGAAAAAAAAAAAATTCATCAATCCCTAAGAATGTTTTGTGTTGGGAAGAAGAAGTATGCTTTTAGGTGCTACATGGATAATCAGAAATCCCACAATGATGTCATCATCAACTATTTTCCAGGCAAACTGACATTTGACGTTCAAAGAAAACTGTCCGTCCTGTTGGTAAAAAAGTCAACACTAGCAGATACTACGTCATCATAACCGGAATAGTGGCTCCTAGCCAACTGTTTTTTCATGTTGGGAAACGAATGATAGTCAAATCAGGGGAATAAAGAGGATGATCTACCAATTCAAAGCCACAGTTACGCATAGCAACAATTGAAACCAAGGACTTGTTTGTCGGAGTATGTCTTGATCAAAAGGTCAGCTTTCATCAGTTTTCATGGACATTTGGTTGTGATAGCCTTTCGTAAACTGCCTCAGAAAGTTAGCATAGTACTCTCCATTGATGGTGTGGTCCCTTTGACGATTGTCAATAAACACAATGCCGTTTGCATTCCCAAAAATGCAGATGAAACAACCTTGGCCTTCTTTAGAGCCGATTGTATAAGAGTGTTTCTACTACATGAATTGTCTCTTTCTCTGGGTTTAGAAAATGTTCAAGGAAACCAGCTGGATCTGCTTCAAAAATGTCAGATTTTCCCGTGATGTGATCAGCCGATGCGCTTTTGATCAGATGTCAGAAGACCTAGCAGCCATCTTTCAGAAATCTTTGTCATATCAAGTTCATGGTGCAGAATATTCTCAACTCTCTCACGGTATATGTTAATAGCACTGGCTATTTTATTTATAGTCAATCGCCTGTCATCCAGCACCACGTGTTGAACACGATCAATGTTTTCTTCGCTGGTAGCAGTTACAGGACGTCCAGAACTTTGGTTATCTTCAAGGCTATCCCTCCCCCACTGAGATTCAGCTGCCCACTTTTGCACTGTTGATAAAGCTGGAGCGTTACCTCCTAATGTAGCAACCATGTCAGCATTAATATCCTTGGGAGCTAAACTCTTTTTTCTGCAGGTACTTATCATGATGCCAAATTTTGTCCAATTTCAAGAAAAGTCGCTACTAGTTATTTTTGAAGTTTTCTTTGCATAATCAGATACCAGTTTATCTGGAATAAAACAATGCAGTTATTAATAAGAATAGTTGAAATTAATTCATGTGATATTTCACAGCTCTATCATCACTCTTTCATAGTCAGTCTACGAACTTTTCGGTCCATCCTCGTATGTAAAATGTTTTCAGGCACATTTCATTTTTGGAATTAATTTCTTCGAATTATTGTACTCTTTCCTGCAATCGTGTTAAGGTGCTAGCATATCCATGATAATCCATAATACCTAAAATGGGAAAGGAGAAAACAAAGATATTTCCCCTCTCTTGCCAAGGAACCCCTTAAAACCTAGGTGATAAGTTTCACAACGAACAAATTTGGAAGAATCCTAGTTAAACTATGGATCAATGTGAGGTTAAATAAAGGAAGAACGGTTGAAAAACATTAAAACTATAAAATTGAGGTTAGATAATGTGGCAGAATGGACTGAAACCAATACTCTGAGTTTACATCAGTAATTTGGAGTGACAAACTTTTATCTTAAATGAAAGGTGTCAGTCAAAACTTGGTTGGTAAACTAACATTTCAGTGACCACAAGGGAAAAATATTTATGTGCCAGCAAAGACCTTAGAAATATTTATATCCTCTCATTTCCTCAAGTGTGCTAACATAAATAATATATTCGAATATGAAATCGGAACGTGTTGGTACAACATCGATTTAAGAAGTTAAAAACAGAGAATTTGTGCACTACTACCATTTCCAGTGTTACTGGTTTTTACCATCATTGTTTCTTTTTCCATTGAATTCGATAGGTTTTGAAAAATAATCAGGTTTAGTAAAGGAAGCTAAAATTCAAACACAAAACAATAGAAATTTCGCATTTCGAGAACATCTGCGAAGTTAAAGGTGATGCCCGATTCTATGTATAAAGCAGCAAAGGAAGGTAAAAACAGTAGAGCGCAGTCCTAGCCATACAAATCAGTGATAGAGAGGGTAGAGCAGAAGAATGGCTACATCGGTGATAGAGACAGCAGAGCCGATCAAGGGTCCCAGCCGTACACATCAATGACAGAGAGGAGCAGAGCAGAAGAAGGAGTCTCGAGTATCCAAATTGGTGATAGAGACAGCAGGGCCGAGTAGGAGTGCAGTCTGTACACATCGGTGACAGAGGGGAACAGAGGGTGCCTCGAGTGTTCACATCGGCGATAGAGACTAGCAGAGGACCCAACCGTAAACATCGGAGATATAGTGGGCAGTGTAGAAAAAGAAATTTCGAGTGTCCACATCGGTGATAGAGACAGTAAAACCGAGTAGGGCTCCCAGCCGTTCACAACCGTGATAGGGAAGATTAGAAGAAGGAGTCTCAAGTGTCCACGTCGGTGATAGAATCAACAGAGCCGAACAGGGGTTACAGTCGTGCACATCCGTGATAGAGAAGGCAGACTAGAACATGGAGTTTCGAGTGTCTACCTCGGTGATAGAGACAGCCGAGCCGAGCAGCGGCCCTAGGCGTACACATCAGTGATAGGCATGTGAAGAAAAGGGTGTCTCCAGTGTCCACATCGGTGACAGAGACAGCAGAACCGAGAAGGATTCCCAACCGTAAACATCGGTGATAGAGTTCAAAGCAGAAGTAGTAGTCTCGAGTCGATAGAAAGAGCAGTGGTCATTAGGGGGGCCCAGCCCTATAAAAAGTGATAGAGAGAGTAGAGCAGAAGAAGGTATCTCAAGTGTCCACATCGGTGATAGAGACAGCAGAGTCAAGCAGGTATGCTAGCCGTTCACATCGGTTTTAGAGAGGGCAGAGCTGTTCAGTCGTCCCAGCCGTACACATCCTTGATAGAGAGGAAAGTGCAGAAGAAGGAGTCTCGTGTGTCCACATCAGTCAAGAGACAACAGACCCGATGACGGGTCCCAGCCGTAAACGCTCTTGATAGAGAGGGCAGAGCAGAAGGAGGAGTCTTGGGTGTCCCTATTGGTTATAGAGACAGCAGAGCTGAGCATGTGTTCTAGCCGCACACATCGGTGATAGAGAGGGCAGAGCAGAAGCGTGAGTCTTGAGTATCCACATCGGTGATAGAGACGGGCGAGCATAAGGACGGGTAACTAAAAGTTGCGTTCAAAGTTGATAATACAGCATTTTGGAATCCAGTTACTACCTGGCAGCTTCATAAAACCGAAAAGTTTCAGAAAGGCCTAGGCATATTAGTATTAATTCTTTCCATAATTCTTTTAAAATGATTATTGTCTATTCATGTAGAACACACTTACCCAGATTGTAAAGGTTGGCCCAAATCACCTAAAGTTTTAACGCTTTAGCATTTCTTTTAAACGTCTTAAATGTGTGTGGCAGTGCGGAAACGACCAAGAATATCAAAGGCAGAGAAATAACTACCGCACCAATATAAAAAAAAAATCAATCCCCTGGCTCGCATCTGCTTATGTATGGTGCGCGGACGTTAGAACTGAAGTTTTGAAGAACTACACTCGTCAGCGATCGTTGTAACATAAGTATCTCACGCTCGTTTCTTGGCCAGGCACATCGTTTTATACTTGTATTCCTGTCCCAAATCTTTTTTTCATCAACTAGTTATATCAGATCGACCAACTCACATGTAGAGTTTTTAATGTCGATTTACATTCCTTTCTATTTCCACCAACTGATCACTCAGAAAACTTTACTGAACCTACTGTGACCGTACTCGTCGGATCGCTGTTAGAGCAGCTGATACAAGTGACCTACAATGACCTTTTCATTTTCATAAATGTACTCAAGTTCTTAGTACCATGATAAATATATTTTATTACTACGGTGTCAACAAATCCAGATTTGTTCACCTATTTCTTGTGAATTTAGTGTAATTTCACCGATTCTTTTCACATTTTCATCATTAAAACCTAAAAGCTGCAACGCATCTATGCCTTCAAGAATACTATTAATTTATAATGGTTATATATAAACAGGCTATATTTAATGGTTTTAAAACAATTCTTACTGTCAGGGCATTTGCCTCTTTTGGTGTCTAAATGTGGATACCATAAAATTTTAATTTTATTGATCTTGGAAAAAGTAGATCATATACATACACATGTACGCACACGCAGACAGACAGACACAGAGAGAGAGAGAGAGAGAGAGAGAGAGGGGGGAGAGAGAGAGAGAGAGAGAGAGAGCGTGATGGAGATCAATAAAGCAATCATTTTCATCGATGGGCGCCATTTCGCCCGAAGTATTTGTTTGCGCACATTAACAAGCTGTGACACAATTGTCATTGGCTTTGTGAGCGAAAAGTTTTAAGAGCTTTTAAAGGTGTGAAGTGGAGTTTCTTCACAACAAGTCAACTATGATAAAATGAAACGCACTTCAACCGCTATACGACGCTTTTCTTCGAGTTGAAAGGACTTGCACGCCATGTATTTATACCGACAGGTAAAACATCTGGCAGAAATCAATGCAGCTTTGTTAGCGTTTCTGTTGTTGCCACCGTTCACAAGAGAAAACAAAAAAGAGAAAAAAAGCCTGCATTTAACTATAGCATTGTTGTGATTGCTGATAACTCCATACTCTTGCAAGTAAATCGTAAATCTTATAACTCTTTCATTCTTTCTAGCTGCTGTAACAGTTTTAGTATCTATCGATGAGCCCAGAGTATTAGAAGCGTAGCATTACCTTATAGAACAGGCTTTTATCCTGGACTAGAAAGCACGTGATTGTGAACTGAAAAACAGCAAATCAAAATTTATTACCTTTTTTGTATTGAGAATGCTCATCATTGATTTGTTTGTCCTCACGAGCAAAAAGTACTGACTGAGGGCAACGAAACTGAATAGATTTGAACAAAATACAAACGATATTGCTTACTTAAATATTTTTTATTAGCATCTTCACTGCCAGGTTTTCTATCAAAACTCCGACAAGCAACAATTTTGAAATATTTTGAATATATATTATATAGCCAGGTATAGACATTGCATACATATGCATTTGCATATGCATGCAATCCATATACCTGACAATTCCTTTTTATGAGATGATAGTTGATGTTTTATTTTTAATGCTTGAAAGTCATGAATAGATCCGATGTTTTTAACTGGTCAGGATAAGTTAACTTTTAAAAAGTTGTTTGCACAACATTATTTCGTCTTTATAAGTTTTGCCCATGGATGAGTAATTTGCAAGCGCCAAAGAAAAACGGGTAGAAATGAGTCAAGTGTTATATAGCTGATCTTTTTATTTATTGATTTCCTTCATTTTTCTTCTTTTATTTTTATTCATTTCTTAATCGTTATTAGTGAATGTTTTTATTTCAATGCGTATTCCAGGTATTTTGAAATATTTACTTAAACTTCTCTGTAACTTAAAACAATCTTTATTGACGACGTGTTAGCTATCAATGTTTTTCCAAATTACTGTGGACCATAGTTAATGAATTATATTTGTGATTGTGATGACAATTCATGATTGCAATGGCAATCGTTATCGTCCTTTTTTGTTCTTGAAATTTTGGTAAAATATTCAGAGATTCTAATCAGCAACAAGAATGATTCTTGAAGGAAATAATTAAGAATGAGAAAACCGTAAAAAATATTTTCTTTCGGAGCTGAGATCTAATATTTCAATTTATGTGATAATGACACACCATTTTATCTTTGGCTTTAAAAATATTCACTTCTTTTTCTTAAAAAGATATACGTGACTCATTCAGTTTTGCAAAAATATTGGTTAAAACATGCACTTCTTCAAAGCCATGTTGTATTTGTGAATCAGTTGGACAGTTGAAATTTATGATTGATAAAATATGCCAGCAGTTCTTTCTACAATTCAAATATTCTCACAAGAACATTACATTGCAATACCCATCTAATTTGAATAATTTAATAATCTAATTTTTATGTAGAAGTAATAAGTTTTGCAGACAATCCATATCTTCACAGAGGCTTTTCTGATCATTACTTTTACTGTACACTGCAATACATTTATACCAGCTTTTTTTTCATAAAATTATCAATGCAAGCAAAAATAATTTTCTCTTTTATTTTTTATGTAAGACTAATTTTAAGTACAGTTTTGACATATTTATTTTCATTAAAGATAACTTGTATTGTATGTCAATGAGATACTGCTATCTACTGCTGTAGAACGCCACAGCGAATGCGAGTTGAGCTACCATCTGTTGACCTGACAACGTCTATTCCAGAAATTATTCTACTTCATAACAATATGGCGTCACCGATAAACCGGATGCACGTAGAAATTTGGATTAAATGTTTCGCAGCGTTGGCTCGGGTAAAGAAACTGAATGATAAGAAAACCTCTGGAGGGGAGAATGAAATTACGGATTTACTGTTGGCTTCGGCAGGATGTAAAGCCATAAAGAATATATTCATTATGGTGTACCCCAAAATACTGGAAGATTTAACATATGAAGAAATTTCAACCATTATAAAAAGAAACAATTATTCGAAAAAAAATTTATTCGAATTGTAAATTGTTTGAATGAAAATTAATCGAAAGGAGAATTATATTAAATGATAATAAGTCGCAATACCCATGTTTGAAATATGTATGTGGTCTTTCTTTGAGAGAGTCAATGTTGATTTACCTAGAACCTAATAACACTCTTGAAAGATGACAGGACTTTTTTGTAGCAAGTGTCATCCCATCATTTCACAATATGGAAATTTTTAGACTCTGTTAAAAGAGAACAGGACTTACAAGAAAATCATATTGCAAAGTAAGAGCAGGTTGCCAAATATCAAGAGCGCTAAGAAATACCACGATGTAAATGGAAAGCTTAAAAAATTAGTGGCATCCTTTAATGAGTAGTACTCTTCAGTAGTTGACTATTTACGTGCAGTATCATATAACTTAAGGTTATAAGGATTTTTTCTTACTAAATTGTTTCATTAATGATATTTGTATTTCGAATAATTATCATTTGTGGATTTCCTCTTTTAATTTTTACACTTTTATTGCAATAAAGAATTTTGCATTTCGAATAATTATCATTTAGTACAATTGTCCTTTCGATTAATTTTCATTAAAACATTTTACAATTCAAATAATTGTTTTCGAATAATTATTTTCGAACATTTTTCTCGATACACCTGTCAGTTCAAGAAGGCGCAATGAGTCACTCCCTTGGAGGTTAGAAACAGCGATGCTGATGGAAGGTAAAAAGCGTTCCCTCAGATGATTAAGGTGCAGTCTCGTTTTTGAGGCGTGGAATGGAACAAGGAGTGACTTGTTAATTTTAAACAAGCTACTCCTTGTTCCATTTAACAACAGATTGTAGGTCATTGTTTAGATCGGTTTCCAATTTCACTTTATCGAACTGATCAGACTTACTATTAAGACAAGAGTAAATAGTCGTGTCATCAGCATAGATAGTGAGTTGAGAACTGATGACATGAGGAATGTCATTTATGAAAATTAGGAACACTGTAGGTCAAAGGATAGGGAAACACCTGCATTTATGCAAAACGATCTAGAAGAGTGGCCATTCAAGATAACTTTAATTTCGTGATTTCATAAGAAACGCTGAATCAGTTCAACAATCCGTCCATAACTTTTCAACTCGTAAACAAGACCAGTGGTTCAAACCATGTGAGATGCCTTCGAGATATCTAAAGCTTGACAGACATTTTCAGCAATAATCATTAACACATCAGCAGTTGACCTAGAGAAGTGAAAGCCATATTAATTATCTGAAAGAAGACACCGCGATTTTTGATGATAAACCAATTCAGAGCTAATTAGAGCAACTAGTAATTTGCCAAAAATAGGTAGAGGCTTATAGGCCGATAGTTAGTGCCTATGATATATTTTATTCATAAAAGCAATGAAAAATTAATTAAAAATGTATAAGTTTTATTACGTTTTTTTGTTTTTACGATTCAGACCAAATTCTCTGTAAATGGGAGTCCTATTTGACCCCAAAAAACTGATGATATACTTTTCGGTGGATTTGTCCTCATTAATTAATATAAACATTAAGCACTATAAAAAAGAATTTATCGGAATTCCGTATATAATTAAGTGGTCGGGTTGGGGAAGGTGTAAAATGTGAAAAAAATTTTACCAAGATTTTCTAAGAATGAAACATTTCAAAAAATAATTTCATTCATTTCTGAATTTGTCAAAAATAATTTCATTTAATCCTGAAAGTTTCATTAAAATCCGACAATTATCTGATTTTTGCAAGAATTTCCTAATCAATTTGTTTTTCACTACAAAAAGTCGCTCAAATTTTCCATACTAATTTATAGTCCCCCTTTGACGCTATAAAACAAGATTTTTAAGTAAAATTTTGAAGGTTCTAAAAAGGATTAAAAAATTAATTTTTACATAAAAAATCATTTATTCTCTTAATAATAACAGAAATATTTTGACGATAAAACTTTATTAGGTTTTGGGCATCTTTCATCATATATGCTCATTTTTAAGCGAATCTTTGGAGATACCAGAGTACTTTATCCATGTAATTGCAAATGAAATATACATTTCGTCAAAGCTTGTTTCAGAAGCTCACCTATTATCTCTGAATTATATTTTGTCTTTTGTAGGCCTCCTCGTGGCGACACATGGCAACCGAGCACCTTGCGGACTCGGACTAAACTACAGGGGACGGAGGAGGAGTTGGCCCCCTTAACGGTTTGTGGACATGCACTGGTGCCCATGAACCAAACCCCAGCTATGGGTTAAATAACTCCACTGCCATGTGGAAAAATATTCAGGAGAAGAAAAGGCCAAGGAGTAAACCCTACACAAATCCGGAGTGGAGCTCCTAAGGTGGATGGATGGCACTCTGTGCTACCTTCCGGCAACTCCTGCAGCTGCGCTGGTACCAAACCGTATTGGTTTATCCTCTCCTTTGGACTCTGCTAGCAAGGCGAGAGAGGGAACTAGACGTCCGAGCAGTTCTCCATATATCCCGCCCAGGCTCGTAGCGTACTGGAGAGGACGCACCAGCGACGTCGCAAGACATCGGCACAACACGGGAAGTGTCAGTTATCGTTCAAAAGCCCAACACGATTGGCGTAGGTGACGGGCGCCTGGGGTCACCTCCATCGGTGGGAGAGATAATCGTGTCTCAATGAACAGCTATCGCCCGCCTCAAGCTGGGCAGCCCCCAGCCAGTAAGGTGACAAGCAAGCTGTAAATCTCGCACCAGGTAGGAAAGAAAGAAACACGAAGACTCTAGCTCTTCGGTTTACTAGCTGGAACGTCTGGACTATGCGCCCTGGACTCGCAGATTGCATCGAACAGATCGACGATGCTCGAAAGACCGCGGTCATAGACAGGGAACTCTCAAGGCTGGGCATTGACATCGCCTGCTTGCAAAAGACTCGTCTGGCTGACAGCGGTTCCATCAGAGAGGCCTTCTTCTGGCAGGATCTGCCTCAAGATAACTCAAGGCAACACGGCGTACGCATCGCCGTGAAGAACTCGCTGATACCAGCCATTGTACCACCAACTGGCGGATCTGAGAGAATCCTAGCACTGCGCCTCTTAACATCTACGGGTTTCGCCAACGTCCTCTGCATCTACGCGCCAATGCTCTGCGCCACCCCAGAGGTCAGGGACCAGTTTTATGAGGCAGTGGATGAGACGATATTCAGGAACCCCATTACTGAAGGATGATACCTATTGGGAGACTTCAATGTCAGAGTGGGAGCCGACTGTGACACTTGGCCTCGGCCGTCAGGGCATAGGCAAGATGAATGAGAATGGACATCGGCTGCTGGAACTGTGCTGCCACCACGGACTATGCGTGACGAACACCTAATTCAAGTGCAAAGAACACCACAAAGTCTCTTGGAGACACCCCCGTTCTCGACATTGGCACCAGCTCGACCTTGTCATCAACAGGCGTGCAGACATAAGGAGCGTTCTTCACACTCTGAGCTTCCACAGTGCAGACTGCGACACGGACCACTCCCTAGTAGGCTGTAAAGTGAGACTGACAGCCAAGAAAATACACCGCTCCAAAACCAAGGGCTTCCCTCGCATCAACACCTGTCGCGCCAATGACCCTGAGAGTTCTCGCTGCTTCCAAACTACCTTTAGCGCGAAGGTCGACACATCCTCCTTCAGTGCCACTGACATCGACAGTAGATGGCACCACCTCCGTGATGTCATATACACCTCAGCCCTTACTGCGTTCGGGAAGAAGGATCGTCTAAATGCGGACTGGTACGAAGCTCACTGGGATGAGATGCAGCCGGCATTTGAAGCCAAGAGACAAGCACTTCTGGCCTACAAGCATAACACTTGCGTCAATACCTGCGATGCTCTCAGAGCGGCTCGCAGCAAGGCCCAATAGACTGCACGCCGCTGCGCCAACAACAACTGACTAAACCTGTGTAGCAGGATCCAGACGGCTGCCGACAGTGGAGACGCAAGAGGCATGTACGCCGGCATCAAAACCGCCACCGGCCCCACTCCCATCAAAACGGCTCCGCTGAAGACAAGGCAGGAGAAGTCATTACAGACCGGGGCAAACAGCTGGAGCGTTGAGTGGAGCACTACCTGGAGCTGTATGCAACCCAGAACGTGGTGACAGATGTCGCCCTGGATGCCTTGCCCGGTCTCCCAGTCATAGAGGAGTTGGATGCCCCGCCCTTTGTGGAGGAACTCGGAAAAGCCACCGACTGTCTCTCCTGAAGCGTGGCAAGCCGGCTCTGCTGCAGCATGTCCACGGGTTCCTATGCTTGTGCTGGGAGAAGGGACATGCGAGATGCCGACATTGTCACCCTCTATAAGAATAAAGGTAACCGCAACGACTGCAATAACTACCGCAGCATTTCCCTCCTCAGCGTCGTGGGGAAGGTCTTTGCCCGCGTCATCTTGCTACGCCTGCAGAACCTAGTGTGTACCCCGAGTGGCAGTGTGGCTTCAGGGCGGGCCGATATACAGTGGACATGATCTTCTCGCTGTGCCAGCTGCAAGAGAAGTGCAGCAGAAACCACTGTATATCGCCTTTATTGACCTGACGAAGGCCTTCGACTTGGTCAGCAGAAGCGGACTCTTCAGCCTCCTGGTAGGGTGTCCCCGAAGACTGCTCCAGATGGTCAAGTCCTTCCCCGAGGATATGCACAGCACGGTCTGCTGCAACGACGGAGCATCCGATGCCATCCCTGTGAGTCGCGGCGTAAAGCAGGGCTGCGTCCTCGCGCCGACACTCTTTGGGATCTTCTTCTCCATTGCTTCTCTGGTACGCCTTCTGCGACTGCACGGAGGGTATCTACATCCGCACTAGGGCAGACGGCAAATTCTACAACATCGCTTGACTGCGCACTAAGACCAAGGTCCGTGAGGTCCTCATTCATGAATTGCTGTGTGCCGACGACGCTGCGCTGACGTCCCACACGGAGGGCGGTCTGCAAGGAGTTCGGCTTGACCATCAGCCTCAAAAAGACTCACATCCTGGCACAAGACATTGCCTCCTCCCCGGACGTTGCCATCAACGACACGCACATCGAGGTGGTGGACTTCTTCACCTACCTTGGGTCAATCATCTCCAGCTCCCTCTCTCTGGACACCGAGATCAGTTCCAGGATAGGGAAAGCCGCCGCAGTCATGGCCAAGCTAAAAAAGCGCGTCTGGAACAACAGCCAGCTAACGGAGAACACTAAACTTCAAGTCTACTTGGCTTGCGTCCTCAGAACCCTTCTGTACGGCAGCAAGTCCTGGACAACTTACGCCAATCAGGAGAAGTGGTTAAATACCTTTCACCTCCGCTGCCTCGGACGACTCCTGCACATTAAATGGCAAGACTGGGTCATTAACACAGAGGTTCTCCAACGTGCTGGCATCCCCAGCCTGTTCACGCTGCTCTGCCAAAGCCGTCCCAGATGGCTGGGGCACGTACGCTGCATTCCAAGAGTCATCCTGTACGGAGAGCTGTGTTGGGGGTCCCGCCCAACTGGAAGACCTCAGCCCCGCTTCAAGGATCTCTGCAAACGAGACATGAAGCTGGACGACATCGACCACAACACCTGGGAGGCCGTGGCTGACGATCGTCAGCTTTGGAGTGCCACAGTCAGTGACGGCGTCACGATTGCAGAAGCTGCGAGGGAAGATCAGCAGACAGCAAAGAGAGCCAGGAGAACAGCAAGGACAGCCCCCGTCTCCGTGTCATCCAGTTTCATCTGCGCCAAGTATCTGAGAGACTGCCGCTCTAGAGTGGGATGTAACTCCATTGCCTAGAATAAGCGCTACTCCATCGCCTCCCGAGACAGACGGATGCCGACGGGGAGGGGATATTTTGTCTTGAAAATCGGTAATTATTTTCAGATATATCATTTTCAATCCTATTCGCGTGCAGAATTTAGGATTTATGTGAAAACTTAATCGTGTGACTTAAGAATAAAACACTTCCTTATCTTATATTTACCATTGGCATTGATGAGAGCACTGAGATAACACAGCTTCTCACTTTTATTTGTGGTGCCAATAAAAGATGAAGATATGTACATCATAGAAGAATTTGTTGAACACATATCTCTAATCGCCAAAAAAAAACAGGGGTAGATTTATTTCAGTCTTCGGTTATCTCTTTAGATAAATTAAACGTAAACTGGAAACAGATAATGAGTGTGTTCACAGATGGAAATTCGCAAATAAAAGTCAACATGTTGTGTCCAGGTTAAAATAAAAGCTGCAGGCTAAAAGTATATACAGTGAGCAGTGTTATGCTGTGAAGCTCTCAAAATGCACTTTTTCGTAGGACATTTCTTCATAATTGGAAGAACGTTTCAAAATAAAAGTGAAATAAATTTATTTTCAGTATTTGATTGGTTTAAAGCTTAAACTTGATTTCAAATGCTTCAATGCCAATTTAAGCATTATCATACCTGTGATATGACAACATTTTGTTAAGAGGTGAAAACAAAGTCATGTATATATGTTTGTGAGAAAATACTTTACATATTAACAGAAACTGGAATTAAACCATAGCTTATTAATATGTTGAACTGAATACATATTTGAAGATGCATAAAAAAAGTGAAATGATCCTCTGAATACACTGCGTCAGTGAACAGCGGGAGAAATTGGGATTTAGAAATTGCGGTCTAGGATAACCGTGCATTAGTTTCAATGGCGACACACATTTTACGCCTCACGTGACACATTTATTACATTTTGACATGTGAATAAATAATAGCCAAGTTATGGTCAACTAATGGTCAACTAATTAAGTTTTGTAACGATACAGTGTGAACAAAAGCAAGGCATCTGCCAATCGTAATTTGGCGATTTAGAGGTATATGTTCAACAAATTCTTCTATGATATACATATCTTCATCTTTTATCGGCACCCCAATTAAAAGTGCAAAAGCTATGTTATCTCAGTGCTTTGTATGAATTAAGTTTCTCATTTTTTTCTATCACCTTTTAGTGAGATTCGCTACATTAAAACTTTTTCATCAAGAATCTTTGTCATTCATATAAAAATCAAGAATAATTCATGTAAACACATATACAGCTACACGCTTTTGAAGAATTTCTTCAAAAGAACTTTCCTGTAATTCTCTTGTATACTTTCTACCATTCACAAAGTCATTTCAATCTGCACATGTCTTATTAACTCACTCTAATTTCTTTTATGAAAATAAAATGACACAAAATTTATCACCTCTTCTAATTAATATATATATATATATATATATATATATATATATATATATATATATATATATATATATATATATATATTTCTGTTTCTGGTGTTTTTCCCACACCAGTAAAAATTGTTGATTTGTTTTAACTTATTCTTGAATCTCATTAATCTCTACTCCTTTTGACGTCTCACTGTTCAGTCTACATTTACTACTGATGACCTATATACAGGTAGGTAAAGAAGACAAAGTATCAACTTTTGTCCATAGGAATTAATGTATAGTATCTTACAGCTATAAACTTTAAGAATGTCTAAAAACATTATAATAGCAAAAATAACTCATTTTCTTTTGTAAAATTGGTATAAAATGTACACATTTTAATTCTTGATGGAATTATTAACTTCTTTTGGAATATTTATATTTAAGCACCAAAAGTTTTCTTCAGTTGAAGAAATGCCAATGATAAGAAAGCAATTTTAAAATACCCCAAGTCTAATCAATTCAGCTTTTACCTTTTTTTCTTTAAAAAAAAACGTGTTCCTCAATCCATTATAAATATTTATAGAAGTCAGTATCCATTACAAGTTTGATCAATCTATTTTTTAAAGTTTGTATCCACACATATCTATGCATAGGAAAATACACATTCAAACATATGCGCCTACACGCAAACGTGTATAGAGAGAAATATTTATATACACATGTACTTATATTCTTTCACATAAACATATGCTATCTGACAGCGGATAATGGTTGGAATGAAAATGAGATCATTTTTTCCATTTCATTCTAATATTCATTCATGGAAAAATACGGTCAGATTATTAATGGTATTGCAGAGAGATCTTTCAATACCAACGACATTTTTCATTGACAACGACACAACCAAACAGGAGAGAAAAAAATGAACAATTTAAAATGTTTAAAGCGAAATAGATGAATAAATATTCAACTTGAGTTTTCTTGCACTCCAAATGCCATTCCTTTGTTGTTTCAGTAACCATTGATTTAACAACTGACAAACTCTCCTATTATGACCCGGATTGTTACTGCTCCAGTAACTGATTCCACAATTCTACTTGTGCTTTCCATAACCACTCCGATGCTGTCAGCTATTGCAGTACTGTATTTGACATTGGACAAACATAATCTGACATCCTTTCTTTCTTTCATGGATATTGTTATGCTGGTCGGGTAAATTAGTGATAGTATTTTGCATGATAATCATTTTTAAATATAAGTTAGGATGTATACATCTGAGAAGAATTTATTTTAGTTTTGAATTTAGTGATTAGGAACACATTAAATTGCCCGTTCAAGGATTGGCCCAAAGCATTGGCTGTGGAGTATAGTCGAATAGTTGAGAGAAGCAGAAACATAAAATGCGGCCAAGTAGTCGGAGCACTAAGTGAAGATAGGTAAAAATTCGTGGGATTTCATTCTCTGCAAAAGATTTTGAAAAAAAATTATGCGATGAATAATAGGCAAAAAGTCAAGCATAATTTGACTATTTTCTCTGTAAGTTTCCCTTTTTTACCCGAAGAAGAAAGTACTAATAAATTTTCTTTTTTATATTGATCTTTTTTCATGCATTCTCGATGAGAACAACTTAGCAAAAATATAAAAAATTTATGTTCCTACCAAATCCACGTTCTTGTGCCAGACACAAAATTTAGTAGAAACAGCAAGTCACGATAAT